ACAAAATAAGAGAAAATAGAGAGCAAGGCAAAGTGTAAGAGACGCTGAACTCTAGGAAACAGACTGAGGGTTGCTGGAGGGAAGATTGGTGGGCAGAAGGCAAAATTGGTGATGGGCATTAAGGAGGGCATTAATGTAATGAACCCTTGGTGTTATATGCATCTGATGAATCACTAAATTCTACCCAATCACTAAATTCTAAACCAAGAATATAGTATATGTTAACTAAATTGAATTTAAATAAAGAATTTATATTTACAAATTTGTGTTTAAATATAAATTAAAAATTTATTTTTTAAAAAAGATAGCTAAAATTAACAACTGAAGAAACAACAGATTTTGGCAAGGATGCAGAGAATGGAGAGCCCTCTTACACTATTGGGGGGGGGAATGCAAACTGGTGTAGTATGGAGGTTCCTCAGAAAGGTAAATTGGAACTACCATGTGACCCACAAGTTGCCCTACCTGGGCATATTAAATAACCAAAGGATACAAAAATAGTGATTCAAAGAGGTAAATGCACCACAATGTTTACACCAACACTATCCATAGTAGCCCAAATATGGAAACAGCACAAATATCCACCAATGGTTGAATGGATAAAGATGATGTGGTATATACATTTAATGGAATATTAGCCATAAAAAAGGAAATCTTGCCATTTACAATTACATGCATGGAACTAGAGTGTATTATGCTAATCAAAATGAGTCAGAGAAAGAAAAATACTATGATTTAACTCATATGTGGAATTCAAGAAACAAAACAGATCAAAATAGGGGAAAGGAAGGAAAAATAAAATAAGATAAAATTAGATAGGGAAGCAAATCCTAAGAGACTCTTAGGTATAGGGAAAAAAATCATGTTTGCTGGAGGGGTTGTGGATGGGGGGATGTGGTAAATGGGCTTTAGGCATTAAGGAAGGCACTTGTAATGAGCATTGGGTGTTAAATGCAAGCGATAAATTACTAAATTCTACCCCTGAAACTAATACTACATTATGTGTTAACTTGGATTTTAAGTCAAATTTTGAAATTAAAAAAAATGAAATATGGTAAGAAAACACAAAACTTCAAGTTAAAAAACATCATCCCCACTGTGTCAAAAATGTAAAGAAGTCCTCAGACCGGGTTATTCCAAGACTGGAAGACCTGAGTTCTAGTTGTGGTTTTAGTTGCTCTTAACTTGCTTTGTGACATTGGTCAAGTCCGTTCCCTTCTCTGGGTCTCATCTTTAAAATATCATGATAATAATACATGCAGTACTAGCAGTACAGGGTATTAACATAAGTATATAAGCATCAAATGAGAATGCTGAAAAGGTGCTTGAAGTGTAAATAATTTTACCATGCAATTAAATTCCTTTACTCTCCTCCTTCTCAACCTTTTCTCTCTTTTTTTCATTTTTTTAAAGACTTTATTTATTTATCTGAGCGTGAGAGGGAGAGATCATAAGCAGGGGGAAGTGTAGGGGGATCAGGGAGCCTGATGTGGGACTTGATTCCAGGACTCTGGGATCATGACCTGAGCTGAAGGCAAACACTTAACTGACTGAGACACTCAGATGCCCCCCAAATTTTCTCTCTTGTCCATCCCCATTGTCTTCTTATTTCACTCTATTTTTAATTCCCTCTCTTTTCTTCTTCATTTTGCTTTAAGCAGGTCTCAGACTTCCTGCCAGTAGTGTAGTTAGGTAGAAGGAACACAGCCTTAGAGCAAGAGGGACCTGGGCTGTGCATTTTTCTTAGTTGTTGGGCAATAATTTACCTCTTCGAGCCACAGTTTCATCATTTATAAAATGGGCACAAATAACACCTTCTTTGCAAGGTTGTTGGAAATTGTGGTAGATTGTCTGCAGATATGGCCAGCAATTCCTCCCATCTCTGACAAGCATGTAGCCCTTCCCATTAGGATATTCCCCACTTCTTAAATCTGGGTTAGCTGTGTGACTTGTTTAGACTGTTATAGTGCAGCAGCAGTATTGCTATATCACTTCTGGTCTTATGCCACAAAAGGCTTTGTTTTTTACCCTTTGGAAGCCTGGCACCACATGAAAAAATATGACTAATCTACTTAGAAGAGAGGCCAAAAGGAGGGGAAGCTGTGGAAGATAAAATACTAACAAGGCATGCGGGAAGACTGGGCAGCCCAGCTGAGGTGCCAGACATGAGAGTGCCGACATCATGGATCTTTCAGACCTAGCCAAGCTGTCTGAGGCAACATCACATGTAATATAAATAAGATATTCCCAGCAAGTCTTGTACAAATTGCAGATCACGAGTGGCTTTAAAGCCACTAAGTTTTGGTTTGTTTCACAACAATAGATAAATGAACCAAGGAAACTAAATAAGGTAGTAGAACCCCACTTGGTGGCTAACAGGTGTAGATGCTCAACACATGATTGTTCCTTCCCATTCAGAAGCATCTCTGGGAAATGGCTGATCTATTTAGTGATGCGAAAATTGACTTTTAGAATTCACACATCTGACCTCCAGTGTCCAAGGATGCAGAGCAATTAACCACCTCTCATATACTTATAGGGACCTACTGAGGCCTATACAGGTTAGGATATACCCCCAGTCACACAGCTGAGTGTCCTCCCTTTGCCCACAGTGAGCCCGGGCCACCTCAAAAGCATGCTCATAGATGAACAAAATCTGGGGTGATGATGTAATATCAGGTAAGAAAAATAGTATTTCTTTGACTAGTCATTCAATGATCTGAAGGAAATTAACACTTATGGAGTACTTACTATGTACCTAACATCTCTTACAATAGCCCCAGAAGTGGGTATTATTATATTCTTCATTTTCCCGATGAGGACACTGAGGCACAGAGGCATTTTGGTCAGCTAATGGGTTACTGGGAAGCTATGGGACTACTTACTGTACAGGATGTTAATTAGGGAGGCCTTGGAATTAACACTTGTAGAGGAGAAACATTAGAGAAGGCAAGGTTGAGCAGAGGGTGCTGATGAACTACAGTCCAGTCTTAATGGAAACCTCAGTCCACCCTATGGAGAACTCTGAAACTAGGATGGTCTTGCTCTGAAACTAGAATGGTCTTTCACTGTTGTTCCCTATTGTATCTCTATGGGGAACCAGGCCATTGTATTCCTGCATCAGTCACTGGATTCCTAGACCTTAATTTCTAGCTTAGAGTTATTTCAACTACTCCAATCATCAAGCCATCCCAAAAGGGAGAAAGGCTTAAAGAAATAAAGTGATCATAGAGAAAAGTAGAAACATACGGGCTCTAAAATCAAATCTGGATTCAAATCTTGAAATTTCTCTTTAGTTCTTTAAAGCCCAGTTACTTTACCAGTTATTTAACTTATTTATTTATTTATTTAAGTTATTATATATGTATGTATGTATGTATGTATTTATTTACTTAAGTTATTTAGTATCTTACCAGTTATTCAACTCTGGGCAAGTTATTTAATTTCTCTGAGCTTTGGTTTACCTTTTTGGGAAATGGTAATAAAAATACTTAGCTTGAAAGATTGTATTAAAAATTAAATACAATCATGTACATAAAACATCTTGCAGAGACGTGGCACAGTGTAAATAGTGAATAAATGAGAATTATAACAATAATAAATTATTGTGCACTGGTATGTTTGGTTCCCTTACTTACAGGGTTGAGTGAGTAAAAGTTAAGAGCTACCCAGAAGGAGAAAAGTCACTGTATCTTTTATATTACTTGGTACTTATAGACAATTGTCAGCATTCACTCCAATGAACAAATGTTTATTTAAAAGAATTTGTACAGGCATAACACTCTTATTTTCAAAGAGTGGGGGAACTTTTTATAGTATGAATAAAAAAACCACTGTGGCAACTTAAAACTACGGTTAAGAAAGGAAGGGAAAATACCCCCTTTCCCCAGTCAGGGACTGAGACTTGGATCTAAAGACAACCCCCATCTCTGTCCTTTAAGTCTGAGAGTGACTTGACTAGAGATCTGATTTTGGTAGAGAGGAGAATTGTAGGGCCTGGGGAGTCCTGTGCCTTTTCTTTTATAAGGGAAGGCCACCAACAGAATCTATTGGAAAGGGGATAGCCTGCAGCTGACCTGAGCTGAGGCTACCTTACAGAAGAGGGCAGACCCAAGAGAGGGAGAGATGAATGGAAGGGAAGTCCCACCCTTTTATATATGTAAAATGGTTGGCACTCACTTGAATCTCAACTCATGCCTCTAACCCCTAAGATATATCATTGAGTAAATGCCAGAATAATGGTTTTAAACAAAAATGGTTTTGAACATTTGGTAAAACAGATGTGCTGGGCCCTTCTCATCCTAAGGTTTCCCTACGGTAGAGCCCAATGATTTAGGCAGCAAGTTATTTAGGACTTGCAGAGGGGACGTGGCTCCCTAATTCCACTGTAGGGAACTTCTGCCACTGATTTGAAAAATGAAGGTAATGGGAAAGGCCTGTAGGCCTCAGGATCTCTGGACACACAACCTGTATTTGAGAACTTTAGCATATCTGGGAGACTGGCATGGAAGTGAACTCCATAATAACAGCTAAGCCTCCCAAATGAATGAAAAGGAGGGCTTGTCCAACTTTCCTCTGGGCCTTGCTTAGATGAGATGAAATTAGGGGGCATATGAGGAAGATATATACACCAAGTCTACTGGAAAGTCCAGCAAGAAGACTGTTGTCCCTTCAGAGCCTAAGGCAAAAGTACAGGGAGGGGGCACACTGGAGCCTTCACCTGAAACAAGGTCCTCCTCCAGCCCTCAACCCTTAGGCCCCAGGCCTCAGACACAAGAGGCAGAGAATCACATATGGGCCTTCTGCCCTTCCCTCAGCTTCAAACAAGGTCAGGGATTGAAATGTGGGTGGGAGAGAAGGGCTCATCAGATACACTGTCACTAGCACCTGAACCATATCTCTTCTTAAGTCAGAAACCCCAAGAGAAGAAAGAAATAAGAGCAAAGTGAGAGGGGTTGTGCTTCCATCACATCAAATAGGAAACTCAGTAGAGGTGGGGTAGGGTGGTTTCAAATCAGGACATTAATCACTCTGGCCAAGAGGAAGGGTTATGGTAGCAGAGCTCTATGTGTTCTCCATTTCTTCATTCGTCCTGCTTCCGTTTTGGCTTTTTGGGGTTCCGGGACCGGCTCTTGGCTTTGCACAGAGGACATATAGGTGCATTTCGATGAATTTGTTGATGACATGACAAGCAGGCCTGGTGGAAGAACACAGGATAAATAAAGTCAGTAATTATATTCTTCTAGCCAATGGTTCAGCCTTCTGATCCCCAAGGGTCCAGAAAGAAATTATGACTTCCCAACAGGAAGAGATTACTACTACTTCTCAACAAGTGAGACCCAAGTAAAGAGATCAGTGCCAGATGTAAGGGAAGTAAAGGCTATAAGGAGATGAGGGTCAAAGAGAGTTATTGAGGTAAAATATCCAGAATTTGGAAATAAGGCAAAATGAGAATTACATAGCATTTTAACATTATATTGGAACATGGACCAACAGGCCCTATTAAGGATTATTTAATTCTCTAGGATAGGTATCAGTAAACTTTCTATGCAAATGCCAGGAGAGTAAATATTTTAGACTTTTCAGATTATATTGTGTTAGTTGCAACTACTCAACTATAATTGTTCTACATGAAAGAAGTTACAGATAATACATAAACACAAAAAACATGTGTGTATGCCAGTAAAACTTTATTTACAAAAACTGGGAGCAAGTCAGACTTGGCCTGTGGGTTCTAGTTTGCTGACCCCTGCTCTAGGAGACTGTCCCTTTGTTTGACTATTTACTATTGATCAGGGCCCAAACTGTGATTTATGCTAATAAGCTACAAATGGTTTTGCCCAGTAGAAATGCAGAATATTTCTGTTCCAAAGAAAAGATAATCACAAAGGTTACAGTTTATTGCCCTGTAGGACATCAACCAGTTCTGTATTTAATTTTGCAAACTTAGTTCAAGCATTCCTTTCCTTTTCTTACTATATAGTTATCTGTTTCTCAAATGCTTTTGGAACCAGTTTTGTAATCCTGCTGACTACCTCATTAACAACACATTGTCACTATATATTTGCACAGGTCTTATTTTAACTTTTAAAAATTGTGCTTAGGAGAGCCACCAACTTTCCTGCATTGTAGCCTCTTAGGGAATATGAAACAATAAAACCAGATGGTCTGCTATAGCATGTATACACCAACTCTTCCTCTGTGTCCCAAGCAAAGGCTACTTTAGAAAGGGACCAAATTGGTAACTACAAAGCCCCAGTCCTAGCCTTCCTTGGGGCTCCATGAAGATACTTTGCTTCCTCCACAACCCCTAGCCAGATCACTTACCTTCATAGGTGGGGGCTGCTGCCTAAAGGTGGCTGTCTGCCGAGTGTCCTGCTTTCTAGCCACTTGGAGTTGCTGGGCAGCAGCGGCTGCAGCGGCCAGAGACTCAGGGATGGGGGGCTCCTGAGGCTCCGTCTGCCACTCCGCTTTCTGCTTCTCAAAGTAACTTTGGAGATGAAAGACATTAGCTGGATCATTCTGAAAGCAAGGATAACCTTGCCCCTCTTAAAGACTCCATGCCACAGAACCAAAGAGGTTGGGCTGTGGCTCACTATAGAAAGTTTCTGCACACTCCCCAGGACAAGGTTCTTCTCATTGGGTATCTGGGCCATTGTCTGCTGGGAAGGGTAATCTTCCTCCTCCTTGGTTTTGACAGATCCAGAAAATAAAGACTACCAGGGCTAGCAAAGTCCTTAAAGGGCATTTGCCTACTCTTCATCCCATGAACCCTTACAATAGTCTCATTAAGTATCCTCAGGCCTTTGTTGACATACTTCTAGGAATATGATGCTCATCACTTTCACAGGCAGCCTGCCCTACTTTAAGGAAGTGTGCTTCCTTCTACTGAATTGAACTCTCTCTGTAAGATTAGTGTAGTTCTTAATTCTGGGTCTTAAGATGAAGCTCCAGGCTCGCCCCTGAAGACCATAAATGCCCAGACTTCTATGTTTTCAAAGGTTTCTAGACACCTCTGTTAGACCTTGACTTGCGAGGTGACCTCTTGAGTCACACGAGCATGCACACGCACACACACACACACACACACACACACACAGAGTCATAGACACAGTCTCGTGTTATCAAAATTGCACAAAGAATTTTAAAAATTACCTGGTAATACTAGTCTAATCATCCTAACTTTGATACACAGAGACTTGCCCAAGGTCATAAAATGAGTCTGTAACTAACAGGCCTGAAGCCAGGACTGGGTTACATGACTTTTAAATAAAGCTTTATGTGTATATATGCCCCTCTGTATTTTTGTGTGTGTATGTGTTTGTGTGTGTATGTGTTGTGTGTAAGTTACAGGGACAGGAAATAGGCAGCTTACTCCAAGGAGAGCTTCTCCTCCTCTTCACATAGGTCAGGGAGCCTCTGCAGGCCTAGAGTCATGCGTAGGGCATCAACATGTTCCTTCAGTGGCTTATACTCATCATGTAGCCGCCGGGTAGACTCTAGCAACTTATTTAGGTCATTCTCAGACTGTTTGATGGTGTTTTCCATCTGGAACACAGAGTGAGGTAGGTACAGAGAAAAGACACTATCATTCTCTGCAAGGCTCTACAGCTAAGTGAATAAAATAGCCCAGGCCCCAGATCCAGACCAATCTATGGTCAAGTCCTTCATTTGCCATGTATTTATTCTATGTGCCTCTTGTCAAGCTTTAGTTTTTTTTTTTTTTTTCATCTTTATAATGGTGATAACAATAGTTTCTACATCTCTAATCCAGACTGATTTGAGTAAACAGGGAATATTCTCCATTGTCTCTGTGATCTGAGAAACATTAAACTTGAGAAAACTCACTGCCTGGATTGGAAAAAGATTAATAGTATCTACCTCATATAAATCTTATAAAGATTCAGTGATTGAATTTATATAAAGCTCTCAGTAAAGGGGCTACTGCAGAGTAAACTCTCAATAAATGTTAGTTATTATTCAAATATAGCACCTTAAATGAGCACTTAAGAGTTCATTTAGTCCATCCCACCATCATTTTACTGATCAGAGAATTGAGACTCAGAAAGAAGAAGCTTAAGAAACTTCCCCAGAGAAATGCTTCTTAGGGGAAAAGCATAGACAAAGACACAGGGCTTAAGCTTCCAAGGCTGGTTTTCAAAATGTAGTCACCAAATCAGCAGCATTAGCATCATCTGGAAACTCATTAGGAATGTAAATTCTTTTAAAGGTTTTTTTAAAATTTATTAATTAATTTATTTATTTGACAGAGAGAGAGATCACAAGTAGATGGAGAGGCAGGCAGAGAGAGAGAGAGGGAAGCAGGATCTCTGCCGAGCAGAGAACCCGATGCGGGACTCGATCCCAGGACCCTGAGATCATGACCTGAGCCGAAGGCAGCGGCTTAACCCACTGAGCCACCCAGGTGCCCCAGGAATGTAAATTCTTAAGCATGGCCCCAGACATATAGAAATAAGAAATCCTGGGGTAGGGTCCAATAATCTATGTTTCAGGAACCTTTTCAGGTGAACTGGATTCATGCTTAAGTTTGACTTCCACTGGCTTAGATTTTCAGCCCCTTTGTGGCTAATATTTTGTTATTTGTATTGGATTTGTATACTCTGTTAGCTGGCAGCAGGTCATGAAACCCTGGAATCCTGTGATCTTATGATAGAAAATACCAAGTACCTACTATCCAAATCATAGTCCTATTTCCTTTAAGATCCCAGGCTTGACAATGTGAGGAAATAAGTATTGCCATAGAAATAAATTTTCGAAGAATAGAAACAACTCCTTCAAATGTAATTTCTAAAAAAAAAGTTTCTCATTGTCTTAGGCTCTAAAGATTGGGGAGGACTTTATAAGTCAACACCTCCATCTTTCCTCCTGGTGCATGAATTCTGTAGCCGAGACAGGTGATCATTCAGACTATCCTTGAATAACTCCAAAAATTGGGGAACTTATCACCTTAGCAGGCAGTTCCTTCCCCTGTTTCAGGTATCTCCAAAAAAAGAAACTCTAATGAGGGGGGTACACTTTAGTAGGCTTACAAGGATTGTTTAGCTTACTTGGAAGATTTGGAGCCCTTTGAGCTAGACCTCAGAGGCAGCTGCTCGCTCTGCATTACTCCAAGGCTATCTCTCAACTCCCAGACTCCCAGGATAAGAGCACATTAGTGTTGAAAGAGACCTTAGAGGTGACTGAATCCCTGTCATAGTAAAGTGAGAAAATGGGGCCCAGGAGAAAAAGGGACTTGTCCAGTGATATACAGTCAATCAGTGACAGAGCCAGAGCTAGATTTCAGAACTCCTGGATTCTTCCATTCCATCACAGCCGATGCTTACTTCCCCAAGTTGGCCACAGCCACATCTCAAGCAGAGGCCATAGTACTCACTACTGTCTATTCCTCAAAGGGCCCAGAGGTAGGCTTTGGGAAGCCATCCACATACCACGTTGATATCAGCATGGATCAGTCGGAGTTCCTCCACATGGGCCATCTTCTCCTGTAGCAGCAGGTCCATCTCCTGCTTATATTCCTTCAGGTGCCTCTCCTCTGATTCAAGGGCCTCAAACTCAGCCTTCAAACGTGACTTGATCTTCTCCATCTGCAGAGTCTTGTTCCTACAATTACCAAAAAGCAAGAAACAGACCAGCAGGAAAAGAGAGGAAAATGGGAATGGAGTATGGACTTAGGCCCTGAGCCAAGTCTATTTTTCTAAGCCACCTTTCTAAGCCTTTTTTTCTCTAGGCAGATTTAACCTGAAGCCTCCCCCAAAAGTAGAAGATCCTTTATTCTAAGATTGAAGGTCAGTGGGTCTCAAAAGGGGATAATTTTATGGATTTTGTTATTAGACTGATTCAAGAGAGAGCACTATTGTCATGTAGTGGGCATGGGCCAGAGATGCTAAACAGACTCTCAGTTCACAGGAAAGTCCCACACCACAAATAACTCCCACCCAAGATGCCAAACATGACCCTTGAGAAACTTTTAAAGGAGCATTGTCCATTAAATTTTCTACAATGATGGGCTTTCTGCCTGTGGACGCCGCCGAGTAAGCATCGTTAAAGTCTCCCCTCCCACCTCCGTCAGGTCTAAGTCAGAGTCTCCCAAAGAGCCTGAACAGCTGCGGAAGCTCTTCATCAGAGGTCTGAGCTTTGAAACAACTGATGAGAGTCTGAGGAGCCATTTTGAGCAATGGGGAACACTTACGGACTGTGTGGTAATGAGAGACCCGAACACCAAGCGCTCCAGAGGCTTTGGGTTTGTCACATATGCCACTGTGGAGGAGGTGGATACAGCCATGAATGCAAGGCCACACGAGGTGGATGGAAGAGTTGTGGAACCAAAGAGGGCTGTCTCAAGAGAAGATTCTCAAAGACCTGGTGCCCACTTAACTGTGAAAAAGATTTTTGTTGGTGGCATTAAAGAAGACACTGAAGGACATCATCTAAGAGATTATTTCGAACAGTATGGGAAAATCGAAGTGATTGAGATCATGACTGACTGAGGCAGTGGCAAAAAGAGGGGGTTTGCTTTTGTAACATTTGATGACCATGATTCTGTAGACAAGATTGTCATTCAAAAATACCATACTGTGAATGGCCAAAACTGTGAAGTAAGGAAAGCGCTCTCATCCAGCCAAAGAGGTCAAAGTGGTTCTGGAAACTTTGGTGGTGGTTGTGGAGGTGGTTTTGGTGGGAATGACAACTTTGGTCACGGAGGAAACTTCAGTGGTCGAGGTGGCTTTGGTGGCAGTCGAGGTGGTGGTGGATATGGTGGCAGTGGGGATGGCTATAACGGATTTGGTAATGATGGAAGCAACTTTGGAGGTGGCAGAAGCTATAATGATTTTGGCAATTACAACAATCAATCCTCAAATTTTGGACCCATGAAAGGAGGCAATTTTGGAGGCAGAAGCTCTGGCCCTTATGGTGGTGGAGGCCAATACTTCGCCAAACCACAAAACCAAGGTGGCTATGGTGGTTCCAGCAGCAGCAGCAGCTACGGCAGTGGCAGAAGGTTTTAATTACTGCCAGAAAACAAAGCTTAGCAGGAGAGGAGAGCCAGAGAAGTGACAGGGAAGCTACAGGTTACAACAGATTTGTGAACTCAGCCAAGCACAGTGGTGGCAGGGCCTAGCTGCTACAAAGAAGACATGTTTTAGACAATACTCATGTGTATGGGCAAAAAAACTCGAGGACTGTATTTGTGACTAATTGTATAACAGGTTATTTTAGTTTCTGTTCTGTGGAAAGTGTAAAGCATTCCAACAAAGGGTTTTAATGTAGATTTTTTTTTTGCACCCATGCTGTTGATTGCTAAATGAAATAATCTGATCATGAAGCTGAATAAATGTGTCTTTTTTTAAAACGTGCTGTGTAAAGTTAGTCTACTCGGAAGCCATCTTGGTATACTACCCCAAGAGTGTGAAGTTAGAATTCCTTCAGGGTGATGCCAGGTTCCATTCGAAATTTATTTGCAACCTGCTTGAGCACAGAAGCCATTGTCTCCACAAACCTTGGTGTAGTTGAACAGTTAATGTGTTGTGACCTGGAGTTCACCATTAAAAGGTCACGCAAGCAAAGTCCTGGAGTTTATTTGGTTATTAATATGATTGTTGGCACATCCTATGCAATATATCTAAATTGAATTATGGTATCAGATAAAATTATAGATGGGATTAAAGCTTGTGTATCATCCATTATCATGTGTAATCAATAAACGATTTAATATTCAAAAAAAATTTTCTACAATGATGGAAATGTTCTATATCTATACTTTCCCATACACTAGGCACATGTAGATACAGGGTACTTGAAATGTGGCTAGTTCAGCTGAAGAATTGAATTTTGAATTTTATTTAATTTTAATTAATTTAACTTTAAACCATCACATGTGGTTAATTGGACAGCACTGCTCTACAGGGTCCACTCCTCTCTTCCAGAAGAGGAAGGGTAATGGAAGAACTATAGTTCATTTCTTTTCCTAAAAAATAAAACCTGTATATGGTTGTTAAATCCCAATTGTATACTCTCTGGTTCAGTAATCACACACCCGTGAATTTATTCTAAGGAAATAATTAGAGGAAACAAAAAGTTAATACACAGGAATATTCATTCTGGACTATGAGCAAAATTGTAATATGTAGGAAGCCATTAAAAGAATCACTATGAAGACTTGTGACGTGGAAAATGTTGAAGATATACTCAATGAAAAAGTATATACAGTTAGGTTGAATTTTTCAAAGTATACATGCACAAAGTATACTGGCACAGTTTCAAAGACCTTTAACACCATTTGAAGCCTGCCTAAATGAAAGAGCCACAAAGCTTTGGAAGGAGGCTCCTATAGAGCACATTGTTTTACTCCCACTGGCTCTCTGTGCTTTCTGTTTTTTAGGTACTGCCTAGCTGTTACCCATCACTCAGATTTAGCATCTCCTGTCCTCTGCATTGGTACCTGGCTTTCACCTTTGCTCCAGCCCATCCCATGGGTGCTCTTGCTCTACACACTAGACACTGGCCTCTGGCTTTAGCCTGTTTTTGTCTTTAGTTTCTCTCTCCTGTGGATACTGCCTTAAGAGGTGACCATCAGTGGTGCAGAACCACAAAGAGTACTGTATTATGTGGCTAGGGCAATGGGAGAAAATTTTTTCTTTATTCAAAACTTCTTTCATGTTAATATTTTGTTACCTTAGAAAAGGGTAAAAACGTTGGGTGTTATTATCCTATTTGTAAAAGAAAAAAAAAAAAGAAATTGAGGTTCGGGTATTAACTTGCCCTAGACCACAGAACTAGTAAATAGGATGTAAACACTTGAATGCAGGGCTCTAAAATGCCACCCACTATTCCACACTGCCTAAGTGGGGTTGCCCAGACTAAAGAGCATAAACATATTGAGGGTTCTTGGTATACTTGTTCAACTGTCTTGCAAAGGATGAAACTGACTTGTATTGGTCAATTAACTATTTAGAGTCCCTCCTATCTAGACATCCATTTTCTTCCTCTAGATTACATGCAGAACAATCTGAACTTCACCTATCCTTATCCCAATTTACAGATAAGAAACTAATGAGATTCAAAGTGATACAGTATATCACACTAAGTCGTAGAGCCAGTTTGTGGCAGTGCTCACCCTACAACCTGTTTCTGTATTAAGCATAGCAATATTAGGAAGGGAACACAAGCTTTAGATTCAGGCCTGGATATAAATCTGTGTTCTGCCCTTGACTAGTTATTTGTTTTTGGAAAATAATAATAACAGTTGTTATATGCAACTGATGAATTCTTGAACACTACAACTGAAACTCATGATATACTACATGTTGGTTAATTGACTTTAAATTAAAAAAAAGGGGGGAGGCAAGATGGTGGGAGAGTAAGGGACCTCAGTTCATCTGGTCCGTCATATTTAGCTGTATATCTATGAAACCATTCTGAACACACATAAATTCAGCCTGAGATGTAAGAAAATATATCTGGAGCTCTACAAATGGAAAAACAACAGCTTTTTGCAAGGTAGGAAGTGCAGAATCATTAATCTTCAGGAAATGTTGGAAGATAAAGAGACAGGGGATGGAGCCTCCATAAGCTGGCTACCAGAAGTGCAAAAATCAGAACCATTAGAAACCTTCTCCAGGGAGAGACATCCCTTTCTGAAAAGGGAACAGGGATTAAAAGAGCAGAATTTTATGTGCATCACTTTGGTCTCAGGATACCAGGAAACAAAGAAAAACAGGGCTGCCTGATCTGAAACAGTGTCCAAGCAGTGGAGTGGGAAAACTGGATATGGTCAGTGAGCCCAGAAGGGACTCTCAGCCCCAGTTACCATAAACTGCAAGGCAGACCAGTAGGGAGACTGCTCTCTTCCTAAGCACCCTGAAAAAGACTGGGACATGTGGGCCATTTAACATCCCTGGGAGTGACAAAACAGCTGAGCCTATGACTGAGCAACAGCTCTCAGGGCAGTGGTGGTCCCAGAAAGGATAGTAGGATGGCACCCAGCTATGAGCTGGGAGCAGTGAAGTTTGAAGCAGGGCATGCATGCAAGCTCCCAGTAGCTCACAGTTGCAAAGACACAAAGTGAAGTGTTACTCATGGACCCTGGGGGCTCCACCCAGGATAATTGCAGTGCGGGTGAACAATGAGAGTCTATGGGTTTGGTGAACACAGAAGTGGAGATGGTTTGACTTGGAGGGTTTACTAAAGAAGTATGGTTGACTTGGAGGGTTTACTGAAGAAGGGGGACCATGACCTTGCAGCTCTGGGCCAGAGATCCTGGCACAGCTGGTTTTGTTCTGACCTTCTGAAGAGGTGAAGAAAGCCACCAGGGAATAAAAGCCACACAGAGAACCAGCTAACCTTAAGCCCAACCCCTGACAAGGGATGGGGTAATTCCACCCAAGCAAGAAGGGAAAGCCAAAACAGCAGGCCCTTCCCCTTGAAGACAGATGGGAAGAACTGGTGAATGACAGGCTTATATATCTGACAGGACTGTAAAACTCCAGCACCAGGGGAAAACAATATATTGAGTTCCAGGTGTTTCCTCCCAAATCATTTATACCTTAGTCTAAAATTTTATATTTCTTATTTTTATAAACATTTTCCCCATTGCAACTAGA